TGTGTCTCCTGCAGGACCTGGGAGATGCCTCCTGGAGCCACCAAGCTGGTGGAAGATCACAACCTCCTCATCCCCCCATCCATATCACATCTCCTCTGGGACCAGGAGATATCTCCTGGAGCCACCATGCTGGTGGAGGACATTGATCACTCCCTCCTTGTCCCACCATCTGTACTGTGACTTCTCCAGGACCTGGGAGATGCTTCCTGGAGCCACCAGGCTGGTGGAGGCCATCACTCACTCCCTCCTCCTCCCACCATCTGTATCGTGTCTTCTCCAGGACCTGGGAGATGCCTCCTGGAGCCACCAGGCTGGTGGAGGCCATCACTCACTCCCTCCTCGTCCCACTAATCCATATTGCGTCTCCTCTGGGACGAGGAGATGTCTCCTGGAGCCACCAGGCTAGTGGAGGACATCACTCCCTCCCTCCTCATCCCACCATCTGTATTGTGTCTTCTCCAGCACCTGGGAGACGCCTCCTGGAGCCACCAGGCTGGTGGAGGCCATCACTCCCTCCCTCCTCATCCCACCATCTGTATTGTGTCTTCTCCAGCACCTGGGAGACGCCTCCTGGAGCCGCCAGGCTGGTGGAGGATCACTCCCTCCTCATCCCACCATCCATATCGTGTCTCCTCTGGGACCAGGAGCCACCAGGCTGGTGGAGGACATCAGTCATCAGTTGGTCTTCACCCCATCCATGTCGCATCTCCTCCAGGATGCCCGGTCCATCTGCAGCAGCCGCGTGGGCAAGGAAACCAGCACCAACCATCTGGGGCACCACCCAGGTCCACCTCACCCACTCAACCTCAACCATCCCTCCCATGGTGGTCACCCATCACCAACCTCCTCCGTTGGGATGAAGCGGTGCCACCCTCCTCCTCCTCCCCCCCACCAAACCACCCCACCCCCCTCACTTGTCCCTGGCGGCTGCCCGGGCGTGGATGCGCGTGTGCCGGGCTAGGGAGGACTTGTTGCTGAAGCTCTTCCCGCAGTGGGGACAAGGGA